ATTACCAAGCTTTTGCATTTTGTCGCATTTTGCCTCATGTGGTGAGTCATTTGGTCTTAATTTGTGTTTCCCTGATGTGTAATGACGCTGCGGACTTTTGCATTAATTTATTGCCTGTTTGTGTATCTTTCTTGTGAATTATTCATTATGACTTGGAAAAAAAATATAGATACACTTTAAGGCACAGACAATTTGGTTGTTTATTGATAATATATGATGTTCATAGCAATATTTGGCATTTTTAAATAAAATTATATTGGGTTATTTTTATTATTATTTATTTTCTTACATTTCTGTGATTATTTAACTCTTCAATATTAATTCTCTTTGAACTGGGTATATATATAATAAATCTCTTCCACCACCTCCATTGGGCTTGAAACTGTAAGTATATTTGTTTGTTTATTTTAATTTTTCATTATAACAGAAGATTCCAGTTCCATGGGTGGAATCAGGCCATTGAAATCTGAAGGAATTTTTTTCTTATAGGTACACTTTGCCCAAAGTTGAAGGAAAAAATAGGTTACCAAATTTAAGGTTTGGATGTTCATGGCATATTTCTTATCTTCCACTGGTAAATGAAGATATACTTACAATAATTTTCAGCCAAGTTCTTTGGTACATTTAAAGATGCCATTGGTTTTGCAAAGAAAATAGTTCTGTATGTATTTGTTTAGTACATCTATATATTTACAAATGTGTATGCATGTGCTCTCCAAAAATATAGCATTTGAATATAAAGTCAAGTATAAGACAGTGGTTTAAAATTTTTGAATTTTTGAATAGCAGTTTAGTCAAAATAGTTTTCTCCATCTCACATGAATTAAAAGGGAGAATGATCGACAGGAGATGATATCAGGGATCATGGGACAGAACCAGTTTTGCAGGTTCCTGGGATATTTTGCAAGTGGCACTTAGAGATTTAGGAGAAAGGCTAGTTGCTGTATTTGTCCATACCTGAATGCTGTGTTTCAGATTCTGTAATGGAATTTAGCCATTAAATTCCATTTTGCTGTATTTTAAGCCTTGTTTGTTCCTCTAAACATAGTCATACGTTGATCAACAGATAATTTCAGTAAATATTGTAATAGTCCCTTTAAGGTACTATTAACTAATCCACTAAAGTAATATCCACTAAGGTGGAGTGACAGTATATGTGATTTTTTTTTTTTGGTTGGGAAATGTAGTAAAGCATTAAAAGATGCCAGTTAATTACAAATAACAGGTATCTCAGGTTACTGATTTGAGTGTTTTTCTATTGTGAGTACAAAATATTGCCCGCATATCAGTAAACAAAGGATGTTGCAGCCATCACGCTGCAGTAGACCCCTGATGGTGAGCCCTGAGGGAACTCAGAATGGAAACAGGATGCCCGCCATCAAGCAGTCAGCCACTCAGCCACCCCCAACCATGTGCCCTGAGGGACTCAGGATGGGCGAGAACAGGATGCTGGCCCTAGCTAGCTAGGTGCGCATCAAAGGAGTGATTTCAGTGAGCCCAGACTCTGGCATTTTCCCATACATAAAAAAGTGCTAAATTCCTTATCTTGAGATATCTGGTTTTCTTTAATAGTAATCTTTGGATGTTCCAGCTACCTGATCTTTGTTGTAAAAACTGCCATATATCCTGGCTCCTCCCTTACCTCTTTGGAGCAGTCCCTTAGAGCTATTGGAAGGGCTATCTCCTCGGCTTGAAATCCTCAGGAAGTCTGCCAAATGAAATATGATTCTCAACTTTAAGGCTGTGCATTGTTTTTCCTTCATTTGACACAATGTATAGGAAGATGCAAGAATCTAGGGTCATCTGAAATTCATTTTCTTGAATACATATCTTAAGTATGTAGAGGCCAGTATAGCCAAAGCACGGAATGCTTCCTGTTTTTTCCATCCTGAATTGGCCTCTGG